CCGCAATGATCAGTTCATGTCTGTCGAGTTGGTGAATGGTGGTGTATTCTTCCGTTACAAACTTGGTGAGCACTTGGTCTCAGCGGGCAGTGAAGATCGCTACAATGACGACAAATGGCATGTAGTGGTGGCCGAACGCGACGGCAGACGCGGCCAGCTGAAGGTCGACAATGTATTGATATCGCAGGAAGAAGCGCCAGCCGATGCCAGCGAGACAATGCAAATACCCAAACGTATCTTCTTTGGTGGCTACCCTGGCAAACGTAATCATTCGGCCGTTGTTGAGCAGAACTTCGATGGCTGCATTGATGAAGTGTCCATTTCGGGTACAAAGGTGGATTTGGGTAACAACATGCAAGCACATGGCGTCAAGCCAGGTTGTCCGAAGAAGTTCTCAACAGTTTTGGCATATCCGCCAAATGAATACGGCTTCCTGCGCAAGGCTAACGTGTCGTCGGATAATAAGCTGAATGTAAATCTTAAGTTCAAGACACGACAACGCGACGGCGTGCTCTTCTATGGCGCCAATCACGATCAGAGCGCGAATATAGGTTTGACACTGAACGATGGCTATTTGACGTTGCGCAGCATGGGCGCTGAAGTGGTATCGGACATGAAGAAGCTGAACGATGGCGAGGAGCATGTGGTGACTGTGCAACATGACGGCGATCAGTTGCGCCTGTCCATAGATGACACGGAAGATAAGCGGTGAGTGGAATTGAGTTTGGGTTGGTTGAGTAAAGAGGGTAGATACTAATTTTAGTAATATTTTTTTTTTGTGCATTATAGATTACCCTACACGCCGGAGCCATTGTATATACAAGCAGGCGATGTGTTCTTTGGCGGTTTACCGGATAATTACATACCAGTGCGTAACGCGCTTCCCACCTTGGCATACTTTGTGGGCTGCATTAGCGATGTGACAATCAACGGAGAGATCGTCAATTTCGCTGACAGCGCTGAAAAGCGCAATGGCAATATCAATAATTGTCCAACAGATATTTTAGGTAACGGGTTTCTCTACTATGGAAAGTTCTGAGCTGCGCTAAAGTTAACGCCACCTTTTTTCATTACAGCTTATGACGTTGCTGATGTGCCATTGTACTTCCCACAGGGCGCAAACGAGCTCCTGCCGGAGCCGGAGTATCCCGGTAACTTTGCCGCACCAGCTCTACCGCCATTAGCGCCATTCGCGCCCACGCAGGCGCCACCCTTAACCACAACGACATCACGTCCCGTTGAAGTTGCGACTGTAGCCAGCACTACAACAACCACAAAGCTACCGCCTACACAGAGTCCTCCCATTGTGGAAACACGTTTAGGTGAGGGCGAGGAAGTAGAACCAGAACGCGAGGGAGAAGCAGAATCAGAACCAGAAACAGAACTCGAAAAACAACCCGAGACGAAACCATTGCCACCATTACTGCCTGAGATCGGCCCCGCAAGACCCGCACTGCCACAAAATCAACCAGAAGATCCACGCTGCAAACTGCCAACGAATCCAAACTTCGATGTCGACTATAACGAAGCTGGTTATCGTTTATATTCGATGCGTGAGCAACGTCTCGAAATAGCGCCACCAACCAAGTTGCGCAAACAATATGATGTTAGCCTGCGCTTCAACACTGAAAACCCAGTTGGTTTGCTCTTCTATGCGGGCAGTAAGCAACACATCGACTTTATAGCGATCTACCTTGTGGATGGCAAATTGCATCATAAGGTGAGACTGGGACGAGATGAAGTAGAGGTTGCCAGCAAGGAAGAGGTGAATGACGGCGAATGGCATACCGTTAAAATAACGCGCAAACACCACATCGTCACGCTGTTCATCGATCAAAATGAAGTGGACTCAGCCAGCGAAAGTGTGGATGACAACTATGAGTTCAATGTACGCAACATGACACTCTTTGTGGGTGGCGTGCCAAAGCTGTGGGAGGAAGATCTCAACCGCAACATCAAGTATGTAGCTGATGAGCATCCCTTCTATAATGGTTGTCTCAAAGAGTTGCGGTTAAATGATTTACCGCTAAAGAAGGAGCCAGAAGCATACCACACAGTGCCATGCTCAACCGAGGTAGAACAGGGTTTGTTCTTCAGCAAACCGGTCGGCTTTGTGAAGCTCTTCGATCGCTTCTCTGTGGGCACTGATTTCAATATCAATTTCGACATCCGTCCACGCGAACCCGACGGTCTACTCTTCTCTGTGCACGGCAAGAATGCCTACATGATTTTGGAGTTGGTCGACAACAGTCTGGTGTTCACTGTCAAATCAGACTCTAGAAATATTGTCACAACTAATTACACGCTGCCCGATAATGGTAGCTATTGTGACGGTAAATGGCGTAATGTGCAAGCGGTGAAGTCGAAATTCGTAATAACCATTTCGGTGGATTACATAAGTACACATCCCGGTGTAGGCACAGATGGTTCAACGCTGACCAAGACAAATCGTCCACTCTTCTTGGGCGGTCATCAGGCCTTTAATAAGGCGCCAGGATTGAAGACCCGCAAAACATTCAAGGGTTGCATACGTAATGTGCAAGTGAACAAGAAGACGGTGCGTATTACACCAAAAATGATTCATGGCGATATCTGGCAAGGCGTTTGCCCATTAAATTAGTCAACTAATAAAGTGGGTGAGAATTATAAAATTGAAACGAAATTGAAAACGATGACGACCGACGGTGAAATGCTTGTAAACAATACCAATACTCTCATAGCTCGAATGCTACTCGCAAAACGGTATTGGCAGCAGCAGCACCTTTCTCTTGACTATGACGACTATAACTATTATTTTTTATTTTTCAATATATATTCAATAATTTTCTTCTCCTACAATGTTTTATTTGCGTTAAATTAAGTAAAGAAAATTTGTATTGCCATATATTTCTTATTAAACCAAAAATTGACAATAGTTTCTTTTCCAATAAAGTTTTTATGTACGCAAAAATTCTGATTTTTATTAGGCTGGGTTCGGTCAGGGGATAACTCTGAAGCAGTTACATAGGTTTGGCTGACTTATAATAACGCGATAAGACTTGAAGTTTTCATACTAATACACAGCTTCTATAGAATCCTCTTGCCAAAGCCAAGGTACATATGTACATATATAATATGGAATTGGGTATTATCTGCTTCCACTTTTCGACAACTCTTACAAGTTGTCGGTCGTTTTAATACAAAAGAACCGGAACTAACACCAATTATGTGTTCTCTTTGCGATCGGTAGGTGATATGCCAAGTATCGATACTTTTGTCTGCAGAGCAATAAGGAATTCGATATTGACGAAGTCAAAGGGAAAAGTGTGTGGATGAAGTATTGATGTAGGCAAGTATAGACCAGTTTACACTTTATTTCCTTCGGAAATAGGCTCGTCGGAAACAAATTTGTTATTGTATTATTTATGCGCGTTGCTAGATGTCAAGGCGAATCTATACAAGGTGGTGTTACCGGAGCCGATGATTTCACTGCGAATTTGTATCTTTTGTCAAATTGATGTGTTCGTGGTAATTTTGTTTTGTACTGATTGTCAATGTGCGTATAATTTCTAATTGAAATTTTTGTTTTTCTTCTGCCAACACACCACCTTGTATAAATTCGCCAGATGTTACCTTTTTGTATTAGTTTTAACTAGCATACCCAGCGAACTTCATCCTGCCCAAAATAAATTTTTTGTATTGAAACATTTTGGCCCAATATTTTCACCAACAAATTACGTATACGATTTTCAGTGGCTCATTTATTTGCTAAGGTTATGGTTTGGTGATCGTCAGAAGGCATATTGCCATTGCCATCTTAAATAACTTAGCAACAGTGTTATGTCCGTGAAGGAGTTATTGAAATGCTGTAATCATCGCACAGAAAATTAAATTCGAAGAACTTTTTCTTTGGCGGCAACATTGATCCGGTTCCCTGGACAACTCAATCCTGGTGTCCCCGAATTAAGCTTTAACGAAAAGTCATATTTGAAGATCGCATCCGTTGGGCCAATCGGAGCACAAAGGAGTTCGACTCACAAAATTTACCACCAACCAAGGCATGATGAAAAGCAGGTGTCTTTAAAATCGTTCACAATTAATAGTGGCTGAATACTACTAAAAATTCTACAGAAACAGTAACACAAAGTTTGAGAAATGCTGCAATTAAATGTCATGCGTCCCTCAAAATCTCTTTACGCTAACTTCTACAGTTCCTCGAGTGCTTTAACCTTAGAGAAGCGTGACAGCTATACAACTTAATTTCTTGACTTGGGCACTCAATGCCCAGTAAAGTATTTCGTATGAAAATTTTACGTTCTTAATAACTCACCATATAAAGTACCGTTACTTTCGTATTATGACAGATATACACCTGGAATTTTGTCAACTTATAAATAAAGGTACATTCTATATGCCAAAGAAAAAAGTGAAAAGAAACATCAAAAATGAATATGGGCCCTGCGTACCCAAGTCACGGTTCTACGGTTAATAAACTACGATTTTCGATGTTTGAACCATCATCCTAGAAGCTTACAACATTACATGCCGGTGATTTTGCCCAGCGCTGTCTGTGAGGGGAAACAACCTCGAGAGTGCGCTGGGACTCAAAAAAAATCGAGTTAAAAAGTATTTCAAGGTATTCTCTGACTAGTTTCCATCGCACCATTATCACTTTACACTTCCAGTCGACTATCTAGTACCGAACTAAGCTCACCTCTGCTTGAAATACGCTGCAGAAATCCGTGAGCATAAAATAGAAGTTTAAGGAGAGTTCCTGGCGGAACACAACTCCTGCAACTCTTCCCTTCAACTACGAAGTATCCGAGAATTATGTTTACCAGAAATCTTTGTGCGGAGAAGGATTTATTTGGGGTCATCGCTACGCATTTATCAGTTTAGTCGGATTTGAAGCCAAGCTTACTAATTAGTAAACCGTTTACGGTTTTTCCGTAAAATTTCTAATTGGTAAAATAGAGCCTTTCGCATTGGTAATGATGATACCAAAACTCATTTACATCCTTTATTTCAGAAAACTATTGGCAACCATTAATGTACAAAAAGCCTATTCACTCTTTACAAGGTATTCAACTGTTTTATATTCATTATGCATAACTAAGTTATACCACTAGAGATAAAAAAATTTTACTTGCCACATCAATCTTCTTTGATATATTCTTCAGCAGCATTTTCCCGTTCCAACTCATCGTGGTAAATGAATGCCTTAAGACCGATCTCCACAAAGAAGCAAATAATATACGAGAAAATACATAGGAAAAATATTTCCACCCAATCGTAAGCAATATTATTGTATTTATCACGTTCCTCCTCATAAGTCTTCAATGTCGTCGGACCCATATAGCAGGCAACAATGCAAATTGTTACAGCCAACTTCACCGTCCAGATGCAAGTACGCTCGAAGCGATTCAAAGTTGAATCGCCATATTTCCATGGTCCTACCAGAGCCTGAAATAGGAACCACTGTATGCAGAGACTCTCCAGCGTATCACGGAAGGCGCGTTTAAAAGATTGTGAACCTTCGCGGAAATTTGCTGCATCCAAAACTAATGGTTTCGTCGTTATCCACGCTTCAACTTCGAATGAACAGATGATTTCGTTGGCGTAATCCTCAATGACAATACGGCGACAATACCAACTGGGATAGCGGCCGGAATTGTCACGACGTATGCTGAGCAGAAGTGGCTGAGCAAGATCATCGCCTGTCAGTGGTAAGCGTAGTGTGCAAGTGGAATTGCGCACCAAGTGTGGATTCTCGGGATTTTGAAAAATTATAAATTTGCGCGTGCCTTGCGGTACAGCAAACATGAGAATAACATTTGCAGACGTAGCCGCATGCCAATGTCCGCCGGTGCTTATGTGAACATTGACGCCGAACTCTTTGTTGTAGTCTTCCTGATCGAGTAATGTAATCAGTTCACCTTTGTGATTGCGCAAAGAACGCCAGGCGCAACAGAAAAGCAGCGAAAATAGTAGGAGCAGAAAAAAGAAAGATACGACCATATAGCCATTCGTAGGTAGGCGAGTGAGCACGTGACGCGGTGTATTAGTTTCCATGGCGGCAGTGGGATGCTTCTTGCCCGCGAACGTGGACAGATGATAACAACTGCAACTCAAGTTTTCTGCATCGCTTAAGTTTAGCTTGGGTACGCAACCAGTTGTTGACCATTCAGGATCGCGTGGCTTAAAGTCCCAAACGAGACATTTCAGCATGGTAATCTCAAATTTGAATGTTTTCAGCGTGGAAATTTCATCTGCTGCCATTACGGCTAGGTAGGCCCAAACATTTCCGCCCTTGTCGTTGACTACGTGAAAGGTGTGCTTCTCCGGCACAAAATCGGCAGAGTCACGCATTTGATAGCTGCGCGGCTTGGTGCACAAATCAAGCTTGACACACAGCCGTGTGGTGGGGTCAGAAAATTTTACAATCGCGGCGGTATTCTCTGGCATTTCGATGCGGTAAATAGGCATATCTAGTGAATCCTTGACATAGCCTTCAACCAGGCTGTTGAGTGCATCAGTCGCTGGTGTACTTGCGGATAGTGACATGCGAAACTCTATGGGGTTTTCGAGAAAAGTGTCTTCTCGTAGAGGATCTGCGGCGCTGTATACGCTAAACGACACGATGCCAGTGTTGATCGGTTCCGTATCGGGGTACCACCAAAATGGGTTTCTCTCGAAGGACACCACCTGAAAGAGCAGCTGTGCGCTTTTCAGTATGCGTTCAAGTTCAGCCAGCATACCAGATGGCACTATTATCTCAATCTTTCTATTAGCAGTTTCCAATTTTAGCATATTTGTGCCCTCAATACTGAATACGTCCACCTTGACGCCGGGTTTATTTAGTATATAATGATCGTCAGTGGGCTCATGCATAATGGTGCCCGAAATGCCCACATAATGCAGACACCGAAATGATTCGAAAATAACATCCAACCAATTCTCGATGCGCGCAAGCACAGTCTCATCGAAGTCGGGTAGTGGTGCATATCTTTCGCTCAACCGATTGCCTGAGCCGCTGCTAGCCGGTTGTATGCGCACCACAGGTGGCATATCTTCCAATTTCGCCGAAAATTCTGCAATCAAATCGACTACTTCATTATTGAGTACTTCGTAAGGCGCATGCAGCAACTCTTGATACTCCCTATCAGCGATGGCATAGTGAAAGCCAACCGAAATCTTGCGAAAGAATTTGGTGAAAAGGCTCACTCGCATATTGTCGAGCGGTTGTAAAGGCGCGAGCAGATTTCTAGTTACTTTGGTCATTTGCTCAACTTGCAAAAGTGTTTCCAATTTGAGCCAACGTAGCTGGTAAAATATTATCTCGCCCATTGCCAATGTCAGCGTGCTGCGCGTGAGTACATCTGCCAGCACCATAGCGCGTTCGACATCTCCATCTTCCAAGAGTTTAGCTATATTACTATCCGATTGTGATAGCAACAGTCTCAACGCAGTCTCATCTAGCGGTACTTGCATGGGGGATACGCTGACTGACAACTGCGTCTCGGTGCAGGCGTATAGGAAATCGCATATCACAACTTTAAGGCTGTTCGTTAGCGGTAGTCGCGTGCGCATCAAACGCTCATTGGTGCGATCAAAAGTGAATGTATCGGCTATGTATTGATAAGTTATGGGCGTATTTGGATCCTCAAAATCGTCACACGTTATATGGAATTCCGTTTCATACTCCACGCCACTGCTGGGTTCTATGCTGCACTGCCCACCGTTGGGTGGCTCATTCAAGTATAGCGTTATTTTACATTTACCGCTCATCGAGTCGCTGGCAGTGGACGCTTCAACTGTAATTTCGCCACTGGCTGGTGGCATAAAGCCGATACGCCGCGCATTGCTAGGGAAGCTGCCACCGCTACTAACCGTCCATGTGATGGTGGGTCGCGCGCCGCAAGTGGGGCAGCGCACGAGCAGATGTATCTTCCGACCGGCCGCATACTTCGCCATAGCACAGTTTCGTACACATTCAATGAAGACGTAATGCCTGGGTTCATTTGTTATTTGAATGATTTGCCTTGCAACATCGCGCGACATTGTGCTGACATATGAGTTTACTTGGAATTTAAATGTGTAGGACTTGCCGAGCTGTAGCACTCCAGCAGGAATATTCAATTTGCTGGCTGTTAGATTCACGAGAAAATAAGAAAATAATTTAGTTAAGAATAAGCTCTCGAGTTAAAAACGTACTTTATAAATACATATATGTAGGTAGAACAAACTACGAGTAAATCTAGAGTGCCAGGAAATCAAGATGCGGGCCTATGTTGACGCTGTAGCCACATGTATGGAGTGCGCATTCAAAATAGATTCTTGGGCCATAAATTGTTCTCATTTTGTGAATCAGTAGAGAACTGAATTGTAAAAATAAAATGAAATTACCGAGCTTTACTGAACATAAATTCAATTTCTCGACCTCAAACATAAGTGGAGGCTGAATATTCCTAACATTTTGGAGCAAACAGGAAACGCCTCGTTGGCGCCCTATTTAAGGAAAGAAATGCTGAGAAACAAGAAAGTCTTGAAGCCAAAGATTGCGCACTGATTGAACATGGCTTCATATCTTCATATGAACCGCGTATCCAATGGCCAGCCGTCATTATAGATATCGTCGTTAAAATAACGAATTTTACAGACCAGCCGAAAGAGGCTTTCAACGTTCTACTTGATTTAGTACCAATCGATATTTTTTTTATCCAAAATTCAGCTGCTACTAGCGCTATTAGATTGCGGTATTCTGAATGGACTAAAATAGAGTTGTGGCACAGTTGCTCAATATACTTAAAGAAGGGAAAATAGTAAGTGAATAACAGGCAGGAACGAAGACTCAAAAGTGCATCATATCAGCCTGACGAAGGCCGAACACCCTGCAAGCAAGTTGCACACAGTGGGTCGTCGATGTTACCTATGCTATCTGCATGCAGGACTGCAATCAGTCCTTTAAGTGGTCGTAGCTACAACTCTGTATGGCCTTTCCAGGATATTCATACGACAGTCGGGTCTACGTAACCGCAACGACCCAAATTCACGTCTGCCTAAAATTGATTAAAATGTATTTATACCTACATTTAAAAGACCTCTCCGGAGGTTTTGGGGTCCAAGGAGTCTCAATTTGCAGTTTGTTTTTACTAAACACGGTCACGGGGGTGCGCTTTGTTGCAAAACAAAATGGTTGGAACATGAAGGAAAAGTGCAAACAATGTTTCTCAACAATGTAGCTAAGCAATGTTTCTTCATGTTCTATTGCATCAAAGGGCATAAAATCTCACCCAGCGGCCGTTTTTGCGGATTCAGATTGCCCGTACCCAAAAACTTCCAGAAAGGCTGATGTTATAAATATTTACATTTCAATTAGTTTTAATTTGTTTAAAAGCAACTCTGCGACCACAAATTTCAAATAGGAAAAAAAATTGCTTAAAATCGCCAACCTGGGAAAACTGAGAGTGGAAGAGCGAAAAGAGCTTTCTCAGAAAATTTTTCAAGAATGCCCTACTTCGGAATTTGATAGAAGAATTTATTGAAAATCAGAATTTTATTGAAAAACACCCTATCTCTGAGTTTGGTTGAAGAACGCCCCATGATAAAAATATAATAAGGTAGAACCGCTGAGAGTCACTTTTAAAATTCTTGACGTTTCCAAACAATTTAATTTTTAAATTTACTCACAAACTCACACACACATTTTCATTTTCAATCTCAAGCAACAACAATTTCGAACAATTTCAATTTTTTATTTTCACTTTTATAAGATTTTAAAATGTTGGCAAACTTCAAAAAAAGAAACAAGGCCGACACATTGAGAGAACGGTTCTACCTTATTATAATTTTATCATGGAACGCCCTATCTCAGCTGCCGATTCAAAAACGCTCTATCTCAGCACATTCTCAATGCATTTTCATTTGACAAACGGCCTTTTTGAATCAAATTGCGACATAGGGAGTTTTCCAACTAAACTCAGAAATAGTGAGGTGTTTTTCAATACAATTCTGAGGTAGGGCGTTCTTGAAAAGTTTTCTGAGACAGGGCGTTTTCGAACTGGTTGCCGAGATAGGTCGATCTTCCACTCAGCCATCGATATACCATTAAAACTGTCAGAAAAACTTGGTTTCGTGAATTCCCCAGCCGACTGTCGAACAGTGTAATCAATCAGAAAGTGTATTTGTAACTTTTTGCTAGCTACGGTCTTTTGCATTTCAGTGACGATGTTAGTTACCGCTTTTTTGCCTTAACCTTTAAAATATTTTCCCATTTTCATACCTGTTCCCATATCTTCGTGGCAGTAGCTATTGGAACTATCATCAGCTGAAGTACAACTCCATTTAAAATTCATCGTTTGCTCGACCAACGGTGACAGTGCAAAATCACGACTTTGAGAGCCATCCAAGAAGAAAGACTGACGAACGCCAACTTCACGTGTGCTTCCACCTAAAATTAGTGCCGAAACTGGCTTCGACATAACGAAGATGTAACACTATTTAAAAGCAATAGCACAGAAATAAATTTATGACATATTCAACCACACTCACCCTAACTTTCTTGTGTACAACTGTGCCGCCTTGGTGCTCGTCCACATTCACGCGAATCATATAGGATTGTGCCACCGCGCCGTGATAGTTAAACCATAATTGATAGGGCTTGACTTTCAGCTGCTTTTTGCCGCTATTACCGAATTCAAATAGCAATACTGTGAGTGAACCGAAAAAAAAGTGTAGGAAATATTTGTCAACTAAGTACATAACTAAGCGCCTCACCTGTGCCGATGCTATTGTGCACAGTCCATTCGATTTCCAAGCGTGAGTCTGACGCGCAATGTTTATGTATAATGGCATTGAAGAAATTGAAGCGCGCTATGTCTACTATTAGCGGTTCTTGCGGGTTAGCGCCATGCATGAAGCCAATATCCGGTATACATGGCACGTGCGCCGGTTGTATGATGTACAACTCGAAAAATTGGTCATACAGCTCCCTCGACTGCATATCAGCAACGCGTACTCGCACATTCAATGTACCCGCTTCCCAGAAACTCTCATAGTAGTCATGATAATAGCCAATATTATAGGGTAGACGATCGGCATGCACTAATCCAAGAGATCTAGCGACAGATCTGAGATTTCTCGAATAACGAAAAGAGCTCTCCCTATGCGTATACGATTCAAATGTGTCGATCAAACAATTATTTGTGAAGGCCTCATAAATGAAATCAGCGGTGCCCAATGTTTCGACGGTGAGCAGAAAGTTGTGTCGTTCGCCGAAAATGCCAACTGGATTGAAGAGCACATGCATTTTCGTAAACATTCTTATGCCGCGTATGCCACATTGTTGACCTCCCCAGGGACTAACGCAATTGCAAAAGAATTGTCCGAGTGCTGGCTGACAGCTTCCGCCATTCCTACATGGATTTGGCTCGCAATTATTAATAAAATCTTGGCAACGCAAACCGCTGTAGTAATTTGCTAGGCAGGAACATTGCAAGCGTTCAGCTTCGATGGTGCAAGGCCCTGCATTGTTGCAGTTGCCGATGGGGCAAAGTTTTTCACTGGCGCGTGTAAAGTGTTGTTGACAGATCAAAATTAATGTAAGCAATACAATTTGTAAAAAATATTTCATTATTAGCGCAAGTCGAGCGTACGCGTTATTCGTTTAGAAGGGCGTTACGGAAACTGAGTGAGCAAAATTTCAATGCAATTTTTTGTGCGGGCAAGCCAAATTTAAAAACAAGGCGAGTTGAATTTTTTAAGCAAAGTAAAAAGCAAAAAGGTGAAACTGTAAATTGTAGTAAATAGTATAAATTTTGTGTGTCCTTTGTCCTACACGTGCAGGTTTTTAGGGTCCCTCCCTGCGTGAAGCTCCTCCCTGCCTAAATTGTTGTGCTACTTTGAAGCTTCTTCTGATGGACAGATATTCCGCTGGACATTCACTTCAGTGCCTGTGGAATTTCATGTCCACCCACTGGTTTTTGATTTCCCTTGTGTGTGCTTTGGTGAGCCCACAGAAGGGTTCCGGCCCACGGACTACTGTAGTACTAGTAGCTTCGTGTTTTGCTAGGCGGCCCGCCTGCTCAGTGGACACCATTGTCATCGTGTCTCGTGACTTGTCAAGTTATAGGAATAAGGTAAATGTAAATGTGGAGCAAGGTTTTATTTTTGCTAAAAGAGTTGCCATTTGTTCAAAAATTAAATTCGAGTTATGTGATAAGTTAAATCAATTATTACAATATGGGTATCAATCGAAACGCGTTTGAAAAGGTTATATTTCTTAACAAGTTGTAAGAGGGTTGCCACCTGTTTTAAAGATTGAATTCAATTTAAACTAAGGAAATTAGTTAGTTGAGATATTTATCACAATTAGAGTGTTAGACGAAAGACATTTAAAAATGCTTTAGTTTGCAATGCAAGGTTGCCACCTGTTTTTTTGAATTATTAAAGTATGGGTGTCAAACGACAGAGCGTCAAGAAAATTTTTTATTTGAACACTTATAATATTTTTTAGGTGTTGCAGAGGGTTGCCACCTGTTTAAAAAGTAAAAATTAAATAAATTAATAAGTTAAGTTAAACAATCAAATATGGCTATCAATCGAAATTGGTTTGAAAAAGGTTTATCTCCTAACTATATTTAGGAGTGTTGCCATATGTTTAAGAAATCAAATTCAACTTAAATTTTGGTACTTAGGTAATTGGCATATGTTTCAAAATAAGGGCGTCAGAAAAAAGTAATTTAAAAAAATTTAAGTTTTAAAATATTCTGCAGAGGGTTGCCACCTGCTTGAAAAGTAATGTAAAGTTTGCGTAAGAACTGTTTATTTTGCACATGTAGAATATTTTTGAAGTGTTTGAAGAGGGTTACCATCTGTTTAAAAATTTAAATTCAAATTATTTAATAAGTAAAATGAATTCTTAAAAGATGCGCATCACTCTAAATGGATTTGGTAAGGCTTTATTTGTGAACTATATTTAGAAGGGTTGCCAGATATGTATTTGAAAAATTAAATTCCACTTAATTCATCAACTATTTAAAACTTGCATTCCAATGTCGGACGAAAAAGATTTAATAAGGTGTAGGTTCAAAAATACTTTTCAAAAGTGTTACCACCGGTTTGAAAAGCCGTGTCTAGTAAACTTATACTTAAGAGTTGTATCAACGCTTAAGTTGAAAAATATCACTGCTCGTCTAGAGTTGGGACATCTTGGTGCTCCAGAAATCTGAATCTTTATCTTTTCGAGTGTTTGAATGAACAGCAATAATTTGATAAACATAAAAATTTTGTGATATGTATATCGCTCAATTAAGAAACTCCTCATTATCTAATCCCCTTTGTTTGCAACTTATAAAAATAACTACCCAACTTTTTAAATCAAGTTAAGTTTACTGATAACGCAATGACCACACACATAATTATGTGTCTTTTTACTTCAACATATTCATTTATACATTAGGGTGCATCACTCTCCATACAAAAAAATCTGTACAGTTTTTCAATAGGAATTATAAAACTTATTATGTATTAAGACCTCGGCAAAACTATTTCGGAAAGCATTTAGATTTACGTTTGTGGACCGATTTAAAAATAGCTCCAAAAATCGAGCCTATTTTATAAATAAAATTAGTTTTTAATAATATTTTTTTCAAAAAGTCACCTCATATGATAGGACAGTTTAAGCTTGAAAGCTCTGCATTAAAATGTTTATAAATGTTATAAACTGTATAAAATTAATGCGATTTTTGAAGGTATTTTCAAATTTGTTCAGCTTACTTAATCTTAATACTTTTCCTTAAATTATATATAAATTTATGAAAATATAATAAATTTTATAATTCCGTTGGAAGAACCGCAACTTTTTTTTTTGGTGGTTCACCCTAATGCACATACATGAGTTTATCTGCAACTCTCTTACACACCCCATAAAATGTTAATACGAAATTTATATCCTCAATATTAGCTTGGCATCAAGCGAAATGTTGCATGAAATCAGCAACTTAACACCAAAACAAATGTGGTTGCACACTTCATAATTTCGAGTGCATAAATGCAAATGGTAATTCACACGAAAAACAAATATTCGCATGTAGACATACATACACACATGCACTCATAAGAAGTACAGAAAAGCAGAAAATGTGGTATTTTGTTTGTTGGTCAGCTAAATATATTGTGACACCCTCTGAGTCCCTCTTCCGTGTGCAAATATAAAACAAATACTGCGGCGTCTATACATACATACATACATATGTATATATATGGAGTATTTGTCATAAATTGAGATTAGTCACGAATGCGTGATAAATTCACTTTTATTTTCAAAGCGAGAATTCGCAACAGGAACCACCGGTGTGCTGCAGTAATGCGAATGTGTAGATACATATGTATGTACATACATAAATATGTGTATATACATACATAAGTAAGTAGAAATAAACAAACATAAATGTCATTCCTATAAAGGTATTTCTAAATGGATATGTACATTTGTATGTATTATGATTATTATACTGCGATATATGTAGATATTGATATGCATTTCGTTTTGCAATGGATGTGCACAAAAGTTAAAAAATTCTTAGAATACTTTTCACAAGACTTAGCAAATAAAAGTAAACAAAAATGCAAACGACAAACGACTAAATGTCTATAAATTAAGTGAATCGCTGCTTTTCGAATTGCTTTTCTTGGTGATTAAATGCGCAAATTAGCGGTCATTGCCTTCTATTAACTCATAAATTGTAGTATTTAAAGTGTGAATCAACAGATTACTTTTAAATGCAAATGATATCGACGATTTTAAATTCAGGGGTTGGAAACTATTTGAAATGTGCGTTCTTGTTTGCTAGCATACTAGAGCTGTTCGTCTAATCTAACCCAACCTACAGTTTTTGAGCTTGGCGAACGAAAGCTAAGGCTGATGTTAGATGAAATATTGATTTTTCTTGTAAAAATTATTAACTCCTACTTTTATTAAGAAACCTTGTGAGTATTGGCGTCATCGAGTATAGACGTCTCTATCATTAGGGGGGAATTAAATGCCTCTGGAAGGATTACAAGAATACATTTGGTACTCTGAAAAGATCAGAAAGAAAGAAAAGATTACATTCAACAACCAGGGGAAATTTGCAGACCTGTGCTTGCAAGAGCTTTTCTTGGCTATTTAGACAGGCTATTATTGGTCAATGCGCTGGCTATATCCATTTTAAGCACATAAAAATCAATAGGTTATGACGTAGTCTTCACTTGTCTGCTTTAGCAAGGAACTAATCACAAGCCCCAATCCTCTTAAAACTCTAAAAATAGAGGCTCGATCTTACTGGAAGACCGAAAACCCTAAACCACTACCTTCGCCTTACTGACTGGTTAGCGCCAGTTCCAATTTTTTTCAAAGGCATGAATGTAAGAGGTCGGCCTCCGAACAGGAACCGATTTGCTTATCAACCAGGCAAATCTTTTGAGACTCTCTTTCATAGCCATACTTGTGACTTTATAGACATCTCGGATCCATTTAAAAAAAAATTCAAGGGGTGTTATCTAAGCTATAAACAATAACACTAAAACTATTATTGTATTATTCACTCGCAGGAAAATGTTATTTATCTATGACAAACTTATTGGGGATGGAACAAAAACATATTTTTGTAGAAAGGCGAAATATGTATTGTGATAACAATCATAAGAAAGCCCTAGCAAAGTTTTCTAATGACCCCAGATTGCAAGTGTGTCACCTATTATTTTCTAAACTGGAAATTTTAAGGAGCTTGAAGGTATCCATTGCAGATCGACCTCTAAGGAAAACGGAAGATTTAATATATAGCTGGGTTTAAGCTTGAAAAGGACAAACTAGGTCAACTATAATTAAGCTGAACTTAAAAGAATGGATGCCAATGGATAGATATTACAAATCTTTTTATTAGCTGGGAGTCTTGCAATGGAAATTTTGTGGTAGAGACGGTGTGTCAGACAGTCAAGCTGCTTTACTAGCACTGAGGTCATGCATAATATCATCAAAACTGGTATAATATTGCTTCAGGATCATAAATCCTCTTGAAAAGAAGAGCACCGTAGTACTGGGCAGCCGCCTAGCAAAACATGGAGCTACTACCGTCTCCATTGGCTTTTACCGAATGGATAGATAATAAGCAGCTAATTGAAAGCGGTTTAGCTGTCCATATAAAGAGGCTCCAAAGAACTCCCTAATTAATGCAGGGGGAAGTTCCGCCCTCTTTCTGTGTAATTTAAAGGACACGCTTCCCCTTGATATCCACTTTGTCGGATGGATCTTTCACGAATGTCTGTCGGTTCTGAGAACTGGGCAAAGAAATTGGCAGAACATATTATCTGTAACGAACACCTTATAGTGAACTAAAAGATCTGCACGGGAATGTGTGACACTTGCGATCCAACGGAAGTGCATCCATTTGCACTCTCTCTACTTGCGCTCACATCAATTTTGAGAATGAGCTATAGATTTGTGCTACGCTAGGGTTTAAGGTTAAGACTAAGACAACGATGAAAAGACCAAGCCGAAGACTAGGTCTAAAACTAAGACTAAACAAAGGCGAATACGAAGATTATTAGTAAGACGAAAGTGAAGAGTAAAGACTGAAACTAAGAGTGAGGCTAAGAGCAACACCAAGACTAAAATTAAGGCTATCGGTAAGGCTTAG